ACCATGACCTCACTGTTCCCTAAGCTTCCTATCTGACCTCTGGAATTGTTGCTGTCAATTAGATCCCACAGAGGTAGTTCTTCAAAAGAGCACAATGTTATGATTTTTTTTTTTTTTTCTTGTTTTGGGAACGTACACAGGAAAACATACTCCAATCCAACTGTTCCTACATTGGATTGTACAGTCCAGTGATAATGATTACATTTTTCAAGCTGTACATTCTCACCCTCCTTCTCTGAGTTGTTCTTCCTCCTTTAACATAAACTCACTACCCCGAGGTTCCTATCTAATATTTCAACTTATCAATTTGATCTCAAAAGAGTATAATGCTCAAGGTAGACATTCCTTAATAGTTTAGCTAAATTGTTTGATTTTAAGAAGACTTCAGGGGATATATTTGGTTTAAAGTTTAAAGATGATTTCAGGACAATCGTTTTGGGGATTTATCCAGCCTCCATGGCTCTAGAAAGTCTGGATTCCGTGAAAGCTTGAAGCTCTGTTCTGCATTTTCCTCCTTTTGATCGTGATTCTTCCATAAAATCTTTGATCAAACTGTTCAGGAATGGTTAACTCAATACCACCCATTTCATCTAGCCTCATAGCAGAGGAGGCAATTGTTCATGGAGGTAATTAGCCACACACATTCCCTATCCTGACTCTCCTTCCTCCACTGCTCCAGGTGAATAGAAACCAATTGTCAGACCTTGCATAACCACTTGCAAGCTTTTAAGAGCCCAGGTACTACGCAACGTACTAGGAGGTAGAACAGGAGGACTAAAAATGGTGTCAGGTCATTACTTGGGGTGTCCCTCCACAGGCTTTTCAATGGCTAACTTTTCAGAAGTAGATCGCCAGGCCTTTTTTCCAAGGTGCTTCTGTGACTCCTCCAACTTCCAACCTTTCAGTTAGCAGTCAAGCACGTTAACTACTTACAGCACCCAGGGCCTCCAACAGGCATCCTAGTGGGTGTAAAGTGGTATCTCTTTGGGGTTATTATTAATTGAACTATAAAACGCATGTTGGAAAAAAAAAAAAAAATCTCACTGCCATTGAGTCAGTTCCAATTCACAGCAATCCCCATTGGGTTTCCGAGGCAGTAAATCCTTAGGGAAGTAGATTGCCCCATCTTTCTCCTGTGGAATGGCTGGTGGGTTTGAATAGCGCGCTAACCTTCTGGTTGGCAGTCAAATGACACTGTGCCACCAGAGCTCCTTAAAATGCATATGGGGAGGTGTAAAGTGTAAAAATTTTAAGTGCATAGCTCAGTTGTATTTACATCCATATATACTCATGGATGTGACCTTATCCAGATCAAGACACAGAGCAGAAGTTGACAAACTTTTTCTGTAAAAGGTCAGACAGAATACATTTTAGGATTAATGGACTGTATGGTTCTTGATGCAAATACTCAGTTCTATTCTTGCTGCACAAAACCAGCCACAGACAATATGTAACCAATGGACACTGTTGTGTATCAATAAAACTTTAGTTATGGAACCTGAACAGCACACAATTTCCATATATTACAAAATATTATTCTTTTTTTTTTCCTCAATCATTTCAAAACGTGAAAACTATTCTTACCTTGGGAGCTCTAATGGCATAGTGCCTAAAGCACCTGACTGCTAACCAGAAGGCTGGTGGTTCAAACCCACCAGCCACTCCTTGGAAGGAGGGTTGGGCAAACTACTTCTGTAGTGATACCACCTTGGAAACCCAAGGAGGGGTGGCTATGAGTCGGATCTGACTTGACGGCAGTGAGAGTTTAGTTATCCTTAGTTTTGTGGCTTACAAAAACAGGTGGTAGGCAGGACTTAGCTTGCAGGCTGTAGTTTACCGATCTCTGAAAGAGACATTGTTATTATCTCAGAAGATTCTCTCATGCCCTTTTCCGTTTAAATTCCTCTCCCTCAGTCATTACTGTCTTGATATTTATCACCATCAATTAATTTTACCTGTTCTTGAACTTTATATATATGGAACATGAGAGCTCTGGTAGCGTAGTGGCTAAGGCATTTGACTGCTAACCAAAAGGAGGGCGGTTCAAACCCACCAGACACTCCTTGGAAGGCAGACTGGGTGATCTACTTCCATAGTGATACTGCCTTGAAAACCCAAGGAGGGGTCACTATGAGTTGGATCCAACTGAACAGCAGTGAGTTTTGTTTTTGGTATCTAGTACGTACATTTACGTCTGACTTCTTGAATTCAACATGATAATCTGTCTCGTAGTGATTTTATATCATGATGCATTAATTTGGGTTTTCAGTTATGTGGATTTGGGGGTTTTAAGTGGAAAAGGGACATGATCTGATTTATATGGGGAAAAAAAAAAAACAGTCCTGTTGTTGTGTGAAGAAGAGGGAAACAGGAGTGGAAGTGCGTAGTGCAGTTAGGAATAATCTAAGCAAGAGATGATGGTGGTTTGCGCCAGGGTGAAAGTCATGGAAACAGATTTTGAACTCATTTTGAGTTTGAGCTTGTGGTAGTTATGTTTGTGTGTCAGCTTGGCTGGGCCTAGTTGAGTGGCTGGGCAGCTGGTGGTAGTTATTTCCCATGATGAGACTGGTAATCAACTCCATGGTGGGATCTACCACAAGCAGCCGAGTAGCTGCCTTTGGGATGTGGTCTGCTTCCTGTATATAAGGAGAAGCCTTGGGAATGGTCTCTAGTCTATGGCACACTTGGACCCTGCAAGTAGCTGTGTTGTTGCTCAGCAGCCTGCTATGCTCTGCTGACCTTGGGACTTACAATAGACTTAAGTTAATGGCCTGCCATGTGGTTTTGGTAAATATCGGGACTGTGCCTTTTTACTTGTCAACCTTGGGCTTGGCAGCCTCAGCAGCCAGCAGCTGTCTGAGTGAAGAAACGCCTCTAGCTTCAGTGGGCCAGGAGCAGGAGGCAGAGATGGACCCCAAGGTTGAGGGGCTTTCACCCAGCCCCTAAAGACTGGCACTTTGAACTCATACTTAAAGCCTCCAAATTGTAAGAATAAGCTCCTGTTTGTTACGGCCATCCCCCTGGTGGTGTATTCCTGTCAGAGCGGCACCACGGAACCAGAACAGAGCTCATGGCTCAATACCAGTCAGTTCTGGTTTTAATACAGCGTTAGAATACCAGCTGTTGTTAGGTGCTGTCAAGTCGGCCCTGATTCCTAGCTATCCTATGTGCAACAGAACAAAACACTGCCCGGAAGAATGCTGGTAGCTCACACTAATAGTTCCTGAACATTCTGAAAAACGTGTACTGGGTATGTGTTATATAAACCATGTTCCTGACCTAAAAATTGGTCATTTTTTTTGGAGTGGAGAAGGGGTGGACAGAACAAGAACTGAGATGCAATGCAACTGGTGCTATAAGCAGCCCAGGGGGTTATGGGGCAATCTTGTCCTGGGAAGGTGTGGTCCTTGAGCTGAATTCTGAAGGAAGAATAGTTGAAAAAGATGAAAAGATACACGGAAAGGCCAAGAGATGTGAGATTCTCAGGAGCTCAGTGTGGCTCTATGGAGGGGTCTCTCAGAAATACGTAAGCTTGGCCCGGAAAAAATACTTTGAACTAGTTCTAAACAGATGGGCATTCATTCACTTATTCAACCAACCAATCCTTCCTGGATGCTTCCCTTGAGGGCCCAGAATTGGCCAGAAGTAGCAAACTGGCAGCCTGTGGCCTGAAATCTGACCCATCAATTTTTTATCTATACTTGTTATTATAAATATCTATAAAGAGTTCTGTACTTTCGTACAGATTTTCCACCTCAGAAACCCAATGGGGGTCACTATGAGTCGGAATTGGCTTAATGGCAGTGAGTTTGGTTTTGGTGTGGTTTTATAAAGAGTTCTGGTGGTACAGACAGCCAAGGGCTTGGCTGCTAACAGAAAATTGGCAGTGTGAACCCACTCAGTGGCTCTGTAGGAAAAAAAAAAATCTGCTTCTGTAAAGATTACAGCCAAGAAACCCCTATGGGGGAGTTCTACTCTATTACATGTGGTCACTGTGAATTGAAATTCACTGGACACCACATAACAACCATATCTGCAACTATGTATGTAAGATCCCTAAATGATTTTGCCTGACCATCTGCTTTTATTAAGATTATAGCCAACAAAACCCTACAGAGTAGTTCAGTGTAATACATGGTGTCACCGGGAGTCAGAATGGAATCAAAGGCAACTAACAACAACATATCTGTATCTATATCCATATCCAGTAATATATTGGGAGCTCTGGTGGCACAGTGCCTAAGGCGTTTGACTGCTAACCAGAAGGCTGGCAGTTCAAACCTACCAGCCACTCACTCCATGGAAGAAAGACTGGGCAATCTACTTCCATAGTGATACTGCCTCGGAAACCCAAGGAGGGGTCACTGTGAGTTGGAATCAACTCAATGGCAATGAATTTGGTTTTGGTTTGGTAATATATCAGACAGTATTTTACTGCTGCTATTCATAATGTCTCACCTACCTTGGTCATGTTAGAAGGAACTATTCTCTGGAGAAGGATCTCATGCTTGGTAAAGGGTCAGCAAAAAAGGGGAAGACCCTCAACGAGATGGATTGACACAGTGGCTACAACAATGGGCTCAAGCATAGCAAGGACTGTGAGGATGACACAGGGGCGAGGAGAGTTTTGGTTCTGTTATAGGTAGGGTCACCGAGTTGGAGCCGATTGATCAACATGTCCATATCTATAGCATTTTGGCATTACCACTGACTATCATGGGAGCTCTGGTAGCGTAGTGCTTAAGGCACTTGACTACTAACCAGAAGGCTGGTGGTTCAAACCCACCGGCCACTCCTCGGAAGGAAGATGGGGCAATCTACTCCCGTAGTGATACTGCCTCGGAAACCCAAGGCAAACTCTGCTATGAGTCAGAGACGACTGGACGGCACATGACAACAACTGACTATCATTGAACAGTGGCCGTTCCTTTTGGCCAGACCACGTGTTCTGTTCCTCACTTGCTTTTCTTCACTTTGTTTACTTTACCTTTCTGTCCTTTTCAGGCTTTTGGGTTTTCAATCCCTGGTGTTTGCTGCAAGAAAAACAGAACAAGAAATCAATAGCACAAAAGACAAGATGATCAATTCTGAGTAGGGTGGGGAAGAGCTAAAGTGGATGGAGGAAAGGAGGAGCTTCCTAACCAGGGGTCCCTGAATAGACTTTAAGGCAAAAACTTGGGAGCGATGGGGATTACCTCCCCCGCGGAAAACAATGCAGCTCTGTGAACGTGGGCTGCCCTGGGAATTAGGAAGTTCAGGCTCCACTGCTAATGTGCTGAAAGTACCTGACAAATCGCTTCAGCTCACTGGGTGATCCATAAAAAAGAAATAACTGGCCCGATATGGCATCCGCAATGCAGCCCGCTAGTTCGTGTGGTGCGGGGTAAAGACAGTGTGCGGCCGGACGACCGCGGAGCGCGGGGCGGACTACATCTCCCAGGCGTCCCTGCGCTTAAGGCGGCGCCCTTCTCTAGAACGCGAGCCTCCCTCTCTCTCTCTCTTTCTAACCCCCACCCCAAGTTGCTGCGTCTCGCGAGAGGACGGGCCGCGCCGGCGGCAGCGATAGAGAGCTGTGGCGGTGGTGGTGGCGGTGGCGGCCGAGGCGGCGGCGGCCATTTTGGTGAGGCCTCGGGAGCGGCGGCGGCGGTTTGCTGGAAGTAGCGTCTCCCTTTTTCCCCACCCACCACCCGCATCTCTGTGCCGCGAGAGGAGGCGGTGGCGGCAAGGCAGTGGCAATAACCGTGGTCCCCAAGGGAATTTAAAGGCCGCGAAAGCGGCGGCCAAGAGGGGGCCCTCCCCCTCCTTGTCGGGAGGGGGGGTGGTGTGCACGCCCCCGAGGACGCAGGTAAGGAGAGAGAGACAAGATGGCGGACGCTCCACAGTTCCCCCTCCCCTGACGGGTGGCTGCGCGCGCATCTTTCCGCCACCGCCTCCCCTCCCACCTTCCCGGGGTGCTGCGCGCGCACCTAAGGCCGAGGCCCCGGGGCCGGTGCGTAAGGCTGTCGGCGCGCGCCCATAGACAGACTGAGCAGGGGCAGGCTGGCCGTCGCGGGGCCCCGACGCGTCTCCTCTCCCCACCCACCTTTCTGCGCACGCGTGCCTGAGCGAGCGAGCGAGCCCTGAGAGGACGGACCCAGGTGCGCTCCTGCCCGCCCACCAACCCCAGCCCTCCCCCCCTCAGGGGCGCGCGGGAAGAGGCAGGGGGGCGTGTGGCGAGGCAGGGGCGCGCGCCCACCATATCCAGTCAGGGGAATCAGGACCTGGCGGCACGAACCCTCCCTTTTCTCAGCTTTTTGCGGTCTGATGGGGAAGGGGGGGCCCAGTCAGGCTGCGATGACCGGCTTCCCCACCCTGCGACCCTTGTGTGCGTGGGTTTGGGTTCTGGCGGGAGCCCTCTGGTCGTGCGCGCAGCCGGCTCGCTCCGCCTCCACCCCCGCGCGCGCGCGCGCGCCGGCCCCTCCCCCGGTCTGCGCGCACGATGGGTGCGGTGGGAATCTAGGCGGGCTGTCTTAGGGCTAGCCGCGTTTTAGGGCAGGGGTCAGGGGTCATGTCGGGTCAGCCGGCTTAGTAGAGGCTGGAAGACAGGGCATGAAGACTGAGGTCAAGAGTTGAAATTTCTTGGGCTTTGGTTAGCTTAGGTCCTGGGACTCTCGTGGAGGAGGGAGTGAATCAAAGGCGACACCTGGCTAAGGAATTTCCTTAAACACTGGGGAAACACTTCCGGGCCTCGTGCAGGTTAACGCTCCCTGCTTCCGGTGCATGGTTCTTCGCTTTGAGGCCTTCCTCACATCTCATTACTTCTTTAATGTCGCCTGCTGTCGTTCTTGTGATTGGAGAGGTGTCTCATGGCCCAGGTACAGGATTCACAGGGCCCTGCCCTGAGGAAGGGTGCGTTCTCCTGTAACCAGTGTGTTGAGATACCCTTCTGGCGGTTCCACTCCTATTTCTGACTTCACCTTTCACTGAGTGACACACATCCAGCACCTTTTGAACTTACGGATATGGCAGTTGTTTTGTTTTGTTACTTACTCTCTATTCAGTGGTTGGAACCTTTGACCCTTAAGCTTTATTAAAACTTTTTTTGTTCCACTTCTTCTCTCTTCCCTCCCCACAGCTAGAATCTTAAGTCCCTAGGGGAATGCTGTTTTCACAAACATGATTTGCTTCTGTTTCTGGGAAGATTAGCTTTTCCTACTGTAGCCTTCCTCTTTCCACCTTTTGAACTGGTTTAGGGATATTTAAAAACTTCAAAAACCAAGAATAAAGAATGAGCTTTGATGGATGTTGACAGGTGTGGATTACTACCTCATAACTGTCCCTCTTCTCTTCTGTTTGTTTCAGGCGTGATTTCCCTGATCCCCCTCAGTACGGCGGCACCGTGGAAGTTCAGACTTTCACAGGGGGTGTGGTCTCAGCTCACACAGGTGAGGGTTCAGATACCTTTTTGTGTGCTGAAGCTAATGGGAGAAAAGTTCGAGATAATTAATGCGACTATAAGTCAGTACTTCTGGATTTTTGATCTGGAGGACTGAGGGAATATTTACATACAATTTCTCTGTGGAGAATTTGATGATAATTGGGCAACAACAGGTAGGGGTTTGAATAGAAGAGTATCTGGTCACCTTGGCCCTACAAAAGAGAGAAATAAGTTTTGGCATCAAATTTCCTGGGTTTAAGTCCTGCTTCTGACACTTTTCTATGTATGTCATTTGATCTTTATGTGTTCTGATTTTTTTAGTTTTTAAAATAGAGATAATATTAGAATATAAACTGTTTAGTATGGGAATCTTTGCTGTGTGAGTATCAGTGCAAAGCACGTTGTTCTATGCCGTCAAGTAGATTCCAACCCATAGCAAACCTACAGGACAGAGAAGAACTGCCCCATAGGATTTCTTGTTGTCGTTAAGTGCCATCGACTGTTGGCACTGACTCATAACGACCCTGTGTACGAAAGAACAAAACACTGCCTGGTCCTGCCTGATCTTTGCTCTGATGGAGCTCACCGTTGCAGCCATCTCATTGAGGGTCTTCCCCTTTCTTGCTGACCCTCAACTGGAGTTTCCTAGGCTATAATATTTATGGGAGCAAATTGCCAAGTCTTTTCTCCCAATGAATGGCTAGCAGGTTGTAGGAAATAAACATTTGTGATAGAATGAAAAATACCTGGTGCATAAGGTGGCTGTGAGGATCATGCACTATGTCAGGTAAGTATTCAATAAAGCATCTGGCACATAGTAAATGGGTAAGAGAATGTAAGCTATAATCAATGTTTTTACCTTTATTTTTAATAGTATTTTAGTTTTCCTGGCTTCTTAATCTCCTTTAATCCCATTTTTACTCTACCTTAGGTGCTCCAGAGACCGGTGGACCTGAGCGGAGGCTGGGACGCCCTGGTGGGCCCCGGGCCCTGGAAGGCGGGTCCCGGTGGCCGGTGGCCCAGAATGAGGCCAGCTCCCAGCATGCCCTGCAGCCGGACGCCAGCCCCTCGGCCAGCAGCAGTGGTGACGACCCAGTCATTTTTCAGGCATCCAACGAGGAGCCTGAGAGTGGGACCATGCAGAGCAGCCCCTCCCCTGCTCACCCTCAGCTCCCAATCCTGCAGACACAGGTTTGCAATTGGGGAGAGGGTCTTCTCTCCTCCGTTTTAGACTTCTGGCTCTAAGGCAAAAGAAATGTTACTGGTGCCAGCCACCATTTACATGTTTCTAATTACCTGGGTGGGAGCTCTGGTGACGTAGTGCCTAAGGCATTTGACTGCTAACCAGAAGGCTGGCAGTTCAAACCCACCAGCCACTCCTCGGAAGGAAGGTTCAGCAGTCTACTTCTGTAGTGATACCACCTTGGAAGCTCAAGGAGGGGGTCACTATGAATTGGGTCCAACTCGAGGGCAGTGAGTTTGGTTTTGGTTTAATTACCTGGATAGCTGAATCTGGAGACTCTTTTATGCTCAGATGGGCTGGGCTGTGATATGTCAAGCTTGTTGGATGTTAGTATAATGTTGATCTCTAAGAGTGTGTGGAACTCCCTGGTTACCTGAGAAAGGTGGTTGAAATAAGCCAGATCAGAAATAGAGCCTGGGGCAGTAGGCTTCTATGACTATGTTCTTTGGGACAGTGTCACTGCTTTTGGAACTGGAACAGGATAAGTCTAATGGATGGTGTGTAGTAATAGTTATTTTCTCATACCAAGGAAGTATGTGGAGTAGGAAAAAAGGCATGGTTTTTGGAACTAGACAGATAAGGTTTGTACATATGCTTATGGAGTTGATGTTTATAATTTTTCTGAGCAGCTGGGAAATTTTGTGACATAAGGACTTTTATAACTTATCTGAAGTAGGAATTTGGGAAGTACACTGTGAAGTTGGTGAAAATTTTGTGAATCCTCTCAGTATCTACATTTCAGTAGGACTTTGTTTTCCATTTTTTCTTGCTTATGTAAGAAAGCAAAGTACCTTGTAAAGTGACATGGGGGTGTTTAAGAACAGGGACTTTCCCTCCCTTGTGTAAAGGAAACTACCAACATTGATGATGAATGTGAAGAGGTCTAGGTGGTCTTGGTTTTTAGTGGTCTGTTGAGTTTGGTGGTAAAACCCAGTTGCCTGCAAGTTGATTTCCATGCATGGCAGCCCTGCGTGTGTCAGAGTAGAACTGGGTTCCGGAGAGTTTTCAGTGACTGATTTTTTAGAAGTTAGATCACCAGGCCTTTCTTTCTTCCAAGGTGCTTCTGGGTGAAATTTAAGCTCCAACTTTTCAATTAGCAGCCAAGCATGTTAACCATTTACACTACCCAGGGATTCCTGAATTTGATGGTAGCTCAAATTTATTGCATAGGTGAATCTGCCACAATAACTGTGAAAATGTGGGAGAAACAAATTGTGTAAGAGAAGTCACTGAGGCTCTGATATGAACGTTAAAATTTAAAAGCATAGGCTATAGGAATATTGTTCATTTGGGGAATTGTGGAACTCTCAGAACATATTTTTAGTATACATCAAACATCTGCTATAATCTTGGCTTGGGTGTTTTGAGCACCTAATTAAAACTTTTTACCCCAAATGTCTGTGTTTGTAAAATTGGGATTGATGCCTTACTCCAGAGTTTTTTCTTATGAAGATGAAATACTGTACTCAAAACTCCTACTATAGTGTGAAGCATTCATTTTCTCCTTTTCTAGATGGTGTCGGACGGCATGACAGGCAGTAATCCTGTGTCCCCTGCCTCATCCAGTTCCCCAGCTTCTAGTGGGGCAGGCGGCATCTCCCCCCAGCACTTAGCTCAAGATTCTTCTCTGGATGGACCTCCAGGCCCCCCAGATGGTACCACAGTGTCCTTGGAGGGGCTCAGCTTACCCCAGGCTGCTGACCTGGCTAACAAGGGCCAAAAATGGGAGAAGAGCCATGCCGAAATCGCAGAGCAGGCCAAGCATGTATGTTTTGCAAGGGTCTGTGTTGGGAATCTTCCCTGAACTTCCTTTTTCCATGGGTATTTGACATCTCTTTCCCCTTCTTATCCCTTTTTTGATGGAGGGTAAAGCCTTAATTTGTATGATCTTGAGCAAGTTACTTGAACTCTGAGTTTTCTGTAAAACAGGGATGATATCTATAGGCCATTGTGTACATGAGTTAGTAGACATGAAAATGCATTATAAACTGAGGTGCTTGAGAGTTACTGGTTTCTACTTCTCATTTCTGCCCTGCCCTATTATGCTTATGTAATACTTGGGTATGTGTGGTCCTTGAGCCAGCAGCATGATCATCACCTGGCAACTTACTAGAAATGTAAATTCTAGGTACTCTTCTCCAACCTACCCGTTTAGAAATTCTGGGGGTGGGGCCCAACAGTCTTGCATATGATTCTGAGGCACACTCAAATTTGAGAGCCACCTGTCTAATACCCATATTTTTCTTGATGTTTTCCTTCACTCCTATATTAGTATTCATAATTTGGGGAACTGTGAAAATCTCAGGACCTATTTCTCGTGTATATCAAGCATTGAGTTACCTGTCTCATCTCTGGCTTTCATTTCCTCTGACTTAGTTTCATCAGGAGAAGACAGGAATAATGAGGAAACCTTAGAGCAGTCTTCTTGAGTTTTTAAGTTTGTTTTAAAAAAAAATTCAAATACTTATGATTTTTTTTCTTATTATAAACGTAATATGATCAAAGTTTGTTGTTCTTAGCTGCTGTTGAGGGGGTTCTGACTCATGGTAACCGTGTGTGCAGAGTGGCGCTGCTCCATAGGATTTTCAGGGCTGTGACTTTTCAGAAGCGGGTTGCTTGGCTTCTGAGGCGCATCTGAGTGGGGTCACACCACTCAAACCACGTAGTTGAGTTGTAACTGCAGCATTCAGGGATTCCTGTAATCAAAGTAGAGACTAGTAAAAAATTAATTTTTTTGTTGTGTCTAGTCATTAATCGTGTGTATAACGCCTTAGTATTTTCTGCATAATAATGCATTTTAATAAAAATAGCATTTCTTTAAACAAACAGGATTGTGTAAATTGGACTTCATAGCACATTTTTACACTTAATGTAGAGTGACCATACTCTGGATCAATAGACTCCTACAGTGACGAAGACCTCTTATGACTAGAGTCAAGGAAACAGCTTCTCTGGGATGCTGTCCTTAGGATATGTTTTCCTGCATCTTGACTATATCCATAGGGCATGCATATCTTGTGAGATGATCAAAAGAACATGAAATTGGGTAGCTGGAGTCAATAGACCTGCTTTAGATTCTCGGCATTTATCACTGCCCTGCATGATCTCGAGCAAGTCACTTAAAGTCACTGATCTTTCTTCCCTCATTTGAAGAGAGCACACTACCTGCTTGTAGGATTGGTATAACGACTCACCAAGATCATAAGCATGGAACAATCAGCCCAATCAGTTGCCTGCATGTGGTCAGTGCTCAGAAAGTCAGCTGTGAAGTGGAGTTTGTGTCCAGGAACTTGGACGCAAACTTGCCTTCTTCCGTTAGGAAGCTGAGATTGAGACTCGGATCGCTGAGCTCCGGAAGGAGGGTTTCTGGTCACTGAAGAGGCTGCCTAAGGTGCCAGAGCCCCCCCGCTCCAAAGGTCACTGGGACTATCTATGTGAGGAAATGCAGTGGCTCTCTGCTGACTTTGCTCAGGAGCGCCGTTGGAAACGGGGTGTAGCCCGTAAGGTATGTCCTCAACTAGATCTACCTTCCATTTCCCTGTCAAGTTGCCTTTCCTTAATGGGTGGGTGGGTTGGGTAGGGTGCTTATTGATCCCAGTGGGCTCACAGAGATAAGCCCTGACTTCTGGGCCTCTTAACTTTGATTCTTTTCTTTGCCCTTGGCTTAGAAGGTTTCTGGCCTTTGAGTGTTTTTGCCTTGGGTGCTTACTCCCACAGGTGGTACGCATGGTGATCCGGCACCACGAGGAGCAGCGGCAGAAAGAAGAGCGGGCCCGGAGGGAGGAGCAGGCCAAGCTGCGCCGCATTGCCTCTGCCATGGCCAAGGACGTCAGGCAGTTCTGGAGCAATGTGGAAAAGGTAGGCAGCAGGAGCAGGGAAAGGGAAATGGCCTTGGCTGAGGTGGGTGGGTGGCAGGAATGAACAAAACTTCTTGAAGGAGTGAGTGCTATAATTTCATGCAACTCTAATGGCATTTCTGTTGTACATTGGATCTTTGTAACTTTGAGTACTGTGGAGGAGAAAGAAATACAGTAGAAAAGTATGAGCCTACCTTTTAAGGATTATTAACAGGACTTCTTGATCTCCTGTAGGCCATCTCTACAAGGTGCTTTTAGGAGCTTGTCTCCTAAAACCAGTGTCTGTGCTATTTGCCTGCTTAAGTGCCATCAAAGTTCCCACTGCCCACATACTAAGTTGTGGTAATTTCTTGGGTGTTACTTGGCTGCTGCCTATGTGTTTCATCTTGTCTCCTGCACTTTCCCGCTCCCTTCCACCCCAGACGTGCTTTTCTTTTGTATACTGCTGGCCATTTACTTATGTTCTTTGTACAGCTGGGAATGCTTTTCTAATTTCCACTCAGGGAGTACCACTCATTGAAATCTAGCTCCAGATACATCTATCTGCAAGTAGCTAGTTGCAGACAAGCTGGTTCTTCACTCTCTGGTTCCTTTTATGCTTTCGTCAGAAGCATGCTATTAGATTAGGAGCCTCTAAAAGTTATTTGAAGGAGCTCTGGTGGTGTGGTGCGTAAGGCATTTGACAGCTAACCAGAAGGTTGGTGGTTCAAATCTGTCAGCTAGCTGCTCTGTGGAAAAAAGATAGGACAATTTACTTCCGTAAAGATTTAGGACCCCTGGTGGTGTGGGAGCTCTGGTGGCACAGTGCCTGACTATAGTGCATTTGACTGCTAACTGGAAGGCTGGCAGTTCAAACCCAATAGCCACTCCTCAGAAGGAAGATTGGACAATCTACTTCCATAGAGATACCACCTCATAAACCCAAGAAGGGGTTGCTATGAGTCGAAAATGATTCAATGGCAGTGAGTTTGGTGTTTCGGTTTGGTGGCATGGTGCCTTAGGACATTTTGACTGCTAACCAGAAAGTAGGTGGTTGAAACCTATGAGTTGTTCTGTGGAAGGAAGACAGGGCAGTCTGTTTCCATAAAGATTTACCGCCTTGGAAACCCAGTGGGGGTCACTGTGAGTTGGAATCGACTCTGGCAGTGAGTTTGGTTTTTTTGAAAGGTTATTTAGCTCATTCCTTTTAGAAGGCCAGCATGATCAGGCATAGAGGAGTTTCTCTGAATGTTTGGTGAAAGAGCATGTTTTTGTTACAGAAATAGAACAGAGATACCACAAGTGGATGCTTTTCACAAACAAATTTATTTTCTCAGTTTAGGAGGTTGAAAGTTCAAATTCAGGGTGCCAACTCTAGGGGAAGGCTTTGTTGGCTCTGGGGGAAGGGCCTTGTCTCTTCAGCTTGTTTCCTGAAACGTTGGGGAGTTCCATGTGGCTTGGCATCGGTCTTGCCCCCTCTCTGCTGCTCTCATTTGTTTAGTCATTTTAATACTTCAAAAGAGGTTAACTCATGATGATGATACACCCTATTATACTAACCCTGCCTCATTTACATGACAAAATCAACCCAAATAGAATTACAGCCACAGGCATAGAAGTTAGGATTTATAGTACATATTTTGGGTGGATATAATTTAACCCAAAATAGCACACACATAAGTGGTTATCTTGGACCCTTTAATGCTTGTGGCAGGTGGTGCAATTCAAGCAACAGTCTCGGCTTGAAGAAAAGCGCAAAAAGGCTTTGGATCTGCACTTGGACTTCATTGTGGGGCAAACTGAAAAGTACTCGGACCTTCTGTCACAGAGCCTCAACCAACCGCTAGCCTCTAGTAAAGCTGGCTCCTCCCCTTGCCTTGGCTCTTCCCACACTGGCTCAGCTGCCTCCAGTCCTCCACCACCTGCTTCCCACCTGGATGATGAAGGTGTGTGTTCTTTTTGGCCCTGTTACTCTTTCCCGTAAACCCTTTCTGGAGCTGAAAACCCACCCTGTGGCTTGCAGGGCCCCGTGGACTTTGTGACCTTGTTCTCCTGCTATAGATGGGGACTTCCAACCCCAAGAGGAGGAAGAGGATGATGAAGAGACAATAGAAGTTGAAGAACAACAGGAAGGCAATGATGCAGAGACCCACAGGCGTGAGATTGAGATGCTTCGACGTGAGGGAGAACTGCCGCTGGAAGAGCTGCTCCGTTCCCTGCCCCCTCAGCTGCTAGGAGGGCCTTCCAGCCCCTCGCAGACCCCCTCATCTCACGATAGTGACACTCGAGATGACCCTGAAGAAGGTGGTGAAGAAGAGCCCTCTGAGGTGTTGAAGGTTCGGGCAGAAGGGACAATGGGAAGGCTCACTCAGTGGGAGCAGAGGGAGAGGTTCAGGGTCTAGCTTGTGGGCTGCGAGCTTGGTTTGTGGTTTTCAGAAGCACTCTCTGATTAAGGAAATTGGACTTCCATTTGGGGTAGGTAGAGAAGAATCTGAATTTGGGGCAAGTTGAATTCCAAGGTGGGCAGAGTTTCTGGTGCTGTAGTTGAACACTACAGCACTCGCCTCTCTATAAATTGATGTATGACCTTTCTGGCCTTTGACATGGTTGTAGTACTTCCTTACTGGCCTGTTGGTTGAGAGCTGGAATAGTAAGCTTGAAGTCTCTTCTAGGCATAAGCTCTCTGTTTCTCCATATGTCTGAGTGCACAGAGATGGTATTGAGAGATGTTTTGTCATCCAGCACTTACACAGGTCCTCCTCCAGACTGTGGGGCCAGGATTTGGTAGCTGGTGCTGAGAGAAAACCCTTGGTTGCAACCTTGCCCTGGAACCATGCCAGAGGCACCTGTCACTCAATGGAACAGAGAGATGATTCTCTGACATTTTATTCAACATTAAGCTTTTTTTCTACTGTACTAACCTTAGGCCTTTTCTCTTTCCATTCTTTGCCATATAGGGGAAGCCCCCACTCTCATCCATCCCACAGCACAACAGCCAGCCTTGGCATCCAGATGAAGATGATGAAGAGTTTACTGCCAATGAGGATGAAGGTAAGGTCTCTTGCCCCTGAATCCTTCAATTGTCCACCCTAACCTTTCAGACTCTGATCCGCTCTGTTGGGGCTGTTCTATGCCTCTGCCCCCACTGATCCCACCTCATTCTCTTTCCTAGCGGAGGATGAGGAGGACACCATAGCAGCTGAGGAGCAATTGGAAGGGGAGGTGGATCACGCCATGGAGCTGAGCGAGTTGGCTCGAGAAGGTGACATCCAGTAGACATTTTACGGAGCATCCACTTGATGTCTGCCCTGTGCAGAGTGCTAAGTATAGACAGATGAATGACACTCCTGATCTAACAACAAAGACAGATTTATGAGTGAATAATTTTAAGAAGAACATGATGAGTGCTTATGATGGGAGTTTGAGCAAAATGATGTGGGAGCTCAGAGTCAAAGGATATTGGTGGTAATTGACCTGAACTTTGGAAAAAAGGTTCTCTAGGTTGATAATGTTTTTCTGAGCAACAGGCAGCACTTTACACAGATCGAGCCCAGGTTGTGGGGCTTGACTGGTAACTGGTGCTTCAAGTAAGCTCTTTTGCCTCCACACAAACCTGGATCTGTTAGTATCTGTAAAAAAAAAAAAAAAAATCACTGCTGTTGAGTTGAGTCCGATTCATAGCAACACCTCCTTGGGTTTCCTAGGCAGTATCTCTACGGAAGTAGATTGCTCGGTCTTCTTTCCAAGGAGTGGCTGGTGGGTTTGAACCACCAACCTTCTGGTTAGCAGTCAAATACCTTAGGCATTATGCTACCAGAGCTCCCAGGGTCTGCAGAGACCTAGATCAAATAAGACTTCTCCTTCCGCTTTCCCCTTGAAGCAGCTGAAACGTACCCTTCCTTTCCCCTCCAGGGGAGCTCTCTATGGAGGAGCTGCTGCAGCAGTATGCAGGGGCCTATGCCTCTGACACCTCAGTCCCAGGCTCCGGGAGCAGCGAGGAGGAAGAAGAGGAGGAGGAGGAGGAAGAGGAGACTGAGGCTAACAGCTCTGACTGTGAACCAGAGGAAGGCACAGAAACTGAAGATGCTCCTCAAGAGGATAGTAGCAGTCAGTCAGGTGAGTGTGTGGTCATGAGGCAGGAGCTGGGGAGGGGGGGCACTGGAGGAAGAGGGACGGTGAACTGTAAACCTTTGTTTCATGCTGTAGACTCTGCTGAGGAGCAGAGCGAGGATGAGGAAGATGAGCATTCAGAGGAAGATGAGACAAGTGGGAGTTCGGAATCAGAGGAATCGGAGTCTGAGGATTCTGACGAGGCCCAGTCCCAGAGCCAAGCAGATGAGGAAGAGGAAGACGACGACTTTGGGGTGGAGCTGCTGCTTGCCCAAGATGAAGAACAGAGTGAGGCAGAGGGGGGCAGTGGGCCCCCCACCCCAGGGCCCACCATCACTCTAGGCCCTAAAAAAGAGATTACTGACATTGCTGCAGCTGCGGAGAGCCTTCAGCCCAAGGGTTACACCTTGGCCACTACCCAGGTAACCGCAGGCCCCAGCTTCTGCTATCTCAGATACTTCCTTTCCTTTTCTGTCTCCTAATGACAGATGCTTTGGTTCCACAGTGACACCTCTTTTCATTTCTACCAGGTGAAGACACCTATCCCCCTGCTGCTGCGGGGCCAGCTCCGGGAGTACCAACACATTGGACTGGACTGGCTGGTTACTATGTATGAGAAGAAGCTTAATGGCATTCTTGCTGATGAGATGGGACTGGGCAAGACGATCCAGACCATCTCCCTGCTTGCCCACTTGGCCTGTGAAAAAGGTAGCTCAGCAGGGCCTTTTCTCGTGAGCCCCCTTGGCCAACACCCTTGGGAGTGTTTAGTGGTGACAACAGCTGCAGGATGGTGAACTGTTCACTCTCTGAGTCCTACTATCCTAACAGCTTTCCTTGTTCTGGTCAGTAACTAAATACAGAGGCCAAGATAGGTGCTAGGATTCTTAGGAAGGGCCATCAGAAGGACGGGGAGTGGTCAGGATTATACTTGAGGAACCAGAACTACAAAGTTCTTACTCTCTTACCATGTCTTACTTCTCTGCTAAACAGGAAACTGGGGTCCTCATTTGATCATTGTCCCCACCAGTGTGATGTTGAACTGGGAGATGGAACTGAAACGTTGGTGCCCCAGCTTTAAAATCCTCACTTACTATGGAGCCCAGAAAGAAAGGAAACTCAAGCGGCAGGTTTGATTCCTCATGTGGTCACGTCCCCCCCCCCCCAACCAATCTTTCTTTTACTTTTTAGACCCTCAGATGAGTCTCTTTTCCTCTTCTTTCTGTTGGTTCATTCTCCTCCTGGGACTTTCTCTTTTCTCCTAACCTGATTTCTGTCCCTTGAGAACCTCGACATATCTTGTCTTTGCCCTCTTCTCTTTTCACCCCAGTATCTGCTACTTTCTCTCTGGTCTCTCAGGGCTGGACCAAGCCCAATGCCTTCCATGTGTGTATCACATCTTACAAGCTGGTGCTGCAGGACCACCAGGCCTTCCGCCGCAAGAACTGGCGCTATCTCATTCTGGATGAGGCTCAGAACATCAAGAACTTCAAATCACAGCGCTGGCAGTCACTGCTTAATTTCAACAGGTGGAGACAGATGGGGATTTGTGGGAGGGTTGACTTGGCCTGAAGGGTGGGCTGCTTAGGCTGAGGATATCGAGGATACTAGGAAGGTGCAGGCCTTGCTCACTGTCTTTTCTTTCATTCCCTGCTGTCTTGCAGCCAGAGGCGCCTGCTCCTGACAGGGACTCCCTTGCAGAACAGTCTCATGGAGCTGTGGTCCTTGATGCACTTTTTGATGCCTCATGTCTTCCAGTCTCATCGCGAGTTCAAGGAGTGGTTCTCTAACCCCTTAACTGGCATGATTGAGGGCAGCCAAGAGTATAATGAAGGGCTGGTCAAACGCCTCCACAAGGTAGGGCCTGCAACGGTTTCTGCAGGGTACTTTATTTTTTGCAGCTTTATTGTTGGTACTGAGAATATGCAGAACAGAACATATACCAATTCAATAATTTGTTCATGTACAAATCCCACATTGATTACATTCTTTGTGTTGTGCAACCATTCTCCCCTTTTCTGAGTTGTTCCTCCCCAATGAACGGTAAACTCAACTGCACCTCCCCCTAAAACTCCTATCTAATCTTTCAACTTGCTGTTGTTAATTTGATTCTTACAGATAACACTTAGGGTATTGGAATGACAAGGAACTAAGGGCACTATCCAGAAAGCCCTTGGGAAGAGGGAAGTCAGCCCTAGGCTGAACTCACCCTGTTGCCAAGCTGCCTGTTCCAGTCACTAACTCATTTCCAAACTGAGTGATCTCATCTTAGTCCTCACTCTGCTTATTTTCTTTAATGGTGACGTTTCTGTTCTTATCCTCTCTGAAGAGAATAATGCTACTAATCAGCTGGTGCTGGGATTTCTGTGTACTTTGGTTTCCTTGCTGTAATATTTTTGGTGTGTATGTGCTTTTATGTGCATACAGTGTTTTCTGGCTCCTCGTTTACCCAGCTTTTAAATGATAACACCTTTTAGGATTCTGAGCTTTTTTTTTTCCCCCTGTTATTCCAGTCTACACATCTGATCCTGCTACCCGTCGCTAAGGGCTACTTCCTTTGTGATAATTACTTTGATTTGCATTTTTTAATTCCTTGATTCTCTTACCACCCAAACTGTCTTTTAAATTTCTGACTTAATATTTTCAATTAAAAATTTTTCTTGAACTCACTCTGTCCTAAGCCACACATCTCTGGCTTCTCTTGAACTTACTCTGTCCTAAGCCACACATCTCTGGCTTCCTAACCTGTTACTTTGACTCCATCTTGGTCAGTCACACTGTCATTTTGGTGAACCTGACTAGAAACCAGGAAGTCTTCCTTAATTATTCTTCTTCTTTCATTTTCACCCCTTCCTTTACTTCTTCTAGTTGTCAACTTAATGGCTATGTTCTATTAGATCTTAGGTCCTAAGATTTCACATTTACCCTTTCTTGTCATTGCCATAATTTTTGTTCTCATCTCCCCTACTGGATTCATTTTCATGATCTTGTAAACTTGCTGTCCTTCTTTGAAATGTAGTTTGAGTCACACCTCTCCTGCACAATAAGTTGCTCTGCTCACAGTGCTTCCATGTGTCACTTATGTTGTACTGTCTGTCCCTTAGTACATACAGGGTCCTGACTCCTTTTTGTGTGGCTGGTATCTTACGTGCTGCATGGCTGCTTGAGTGTTTGCTGATGGGCTGAGCCAGCACTCAGTCAATGATCATGGCAAAATCCAGCTAAGTTCTCCTCTCACAGCCTCCCATTCATTTGCCTTTAGGTTTTACGGCCCTTTTTGCTACGCCGAGTGAAGGTGGATGTTGAGAAGCAGATGCCCAAAAAGTACGAGCATGTTATCCGCTGCCGGCTTTCCAAGCGCCAACGCTGTCTCTATGATGACTTCATGGCGCAGACCACGTAAGGGAAGGTTGAGGGTGGACCCTGGGATCCTACAGTAGAGCAGAGGTGACTGTCAGAATGGCCCATTTATTTTTACCCTCTCTTTAGAACTAAGGAGACACTAGCTACAGGCCATTTTATGAGCGTCATCAACATTTTGATGCAGCTTCGGAAAGTCTGCAATCATCCAAACTTGTTTGACCCTCGGCCTGTTACCTCCCCTTTCATCACCCCAGGCATCTGCTTCAGCACCGCCTCTCTGGTGCTGCGGGCTACTGATGTCCACCCGCTCCAGGTAGGTAGTTGCCCTTTAGGTTATAGGCTTTTAATTCTTTTCTTTGGGGATTTTGCATCCTTCCTTTTCCCTTTATCTCAGACTCTCAACACTATTTTCCTAGCTTTATCCTCTTCTAGCCATATGACTTTGGGCAAGGTAATTACTAATCTTTGACTCTAGATATCCTTGACCTTCCAAACAAGGGTTGTAAGGCCCGTTTCTGCAGTATGTTCGTAAGAATAAATGTTTTTGAAAGTGCCAAGACCTGTGCTGGCTTATTAATAGATAGTAAATGTCATTATGTTTTTCCTGCTCCTTTTCTCATCTTAACAGTATTTGATCTCGTGTGTTTGTTTCCCTTTTTGTGGCAGCGGATAGATATGGGTCGGTTTGACCTTATTGGCCTGGAGGGTCGTGTCTCTCGATACGAGGCTGACACCTTTCTGCCTCGTCACCGTCTATCCCGCCGGGTACTGCTAGAGGTGGCCACTGCTCCAGACCCCCCACCCCGGCCCAAGCCAGTCAAAATGAAGGTTAACAGGTACCAGAACTGAAGAATAAGGGATGGGGAGCTAGGAAAAGTGGCTCTAGCTGGCTAGAGGAGATTGAGGTGGGAGGGAAGAGAGCTGGAGGCTAGGCTTGGTGGTTTATATGGAGTGGGTACAAAGTACCGTGGAGAGACTTGGTGGGTGTGGTGAGAGAATATGAAAAGAGGGTCCTGGGAGGGGCCGCTGGGTTTGTCACTGATTTTTCTTTTTTTGTTTTTTTCCCTGCTCCTGCCTGGTGCTTTCTGTATGTGTTTGATTTATTCTTCTCTATCTTTTTTGGATCTCTGTCCTTTCTCACTTTCGCTCTTATAATTTGTCTTTCTACCTTATCTTCCTTTTTCTTTCCCTACTCTCTGTTCTTTCTCTGCCCCTACACCTTTGATTTTTTTCTCATAGGATGCTGCAGCCAGTGCCCAAGCAAGAAGGCCGGACAGTGGTGGTGGTGAACAGCCCACGGACGCCCCTGGGCCCCGCCCCAGTCCGACCCCCTTCAGGCCCTGAACTCTCAGCCCAGCTCACCCCTGGCTCAATCCCCCCAGTTCTGCCAGCACCACTGATGGTGTCGGCCTCAACCACTGGGCCCCCGCTTATGCCAGCATCCCGACCACCTGGCCCTGTTCTGTTGCCCCCACTGCAGCCAAACAGTGGCCCCCTCCCCCAGGGTGAGTTGCAAGGGAGCTAGGATGCTGGGGTAGTTCAGGAAAGTTGTTCAGGTTGAGGAAGAGGTAATGAAGTGAGAGGGTGTAAGGAGCTGAATTGGGGATGTGGGTGGTGGTTGATGGCCAGAAGGGAGGATGGAGTCTTCTGGGATTAGGAAAGGCTCCAGGCAGGTGCTTCTGACAGACATTCATTTTGTGTCTACAGTGTTGCCATCCCCCTTGGGAGTCCTAGGAGGGACCTCAAAGCCTCCCACACCAACCCTGTCCCTGAAGCCAGCTCCGCCTGCACCAGTCCGCCTCAGCCCAGCCCCACCCCCGGGCTCCTCTAGTCTGTTGAAGCCCCTGACAGTGCCACCAGGCTACACTTTTCCTCCTGCTGCTGCCACCACCACTTCTGCCACCACGGTCACTGCTACCACCACAGCAGTGCCAGCTCCAACACCTGCACCACAGCGCCTCATCTTGACTCCTGATATGCAAGCTCGCCTGCCGTGTAAGTTCTCAGATCTCTGTGGTAAGGAACTCAAGATGAGAAGGAAGCCTATATGCCAGGGAGCTTGAGAATGAATATAAGAGCTTACGAACATTGGAATATCAAATTTGAGGTAGCTAATATATTTTGTCAGACATTAATAATTCATAATCAAGTAGGAGCCTTCAAGAAGTTCACAGTCTCATGAGGGAGATAACATGTAAGTGCTAGTGAGTTTAGTAGGTACAAGAGGAGCGGGTGGTAACTAGGGCATTCTGGTGTTTGGCCGTTGGAGGATGTAAAGGAGATTACTAAGCAAACTAGTGGGATTGGAAGTGGTTGTGTCAAAAGCTCAAAGGTAGAGTAGAGGCTGAATTTGTGGGGACATGGAAACTGTGCAACAGAAGGGTTGGAGGAACTGGATACTTGGGAGAGAGGAAGGTGTGTGCTTTATGAGGGTCTGGGATGTGGCACTGAGCAGAGTGTGCCTCTGCACAGCAAGCTCCTTCTCTGTTTACAGCAGGTGAAGTGGTCAGCATTGGACAGTTGGCCTCACTGGCACAACGTCCAATGGCTAGCACAGGGGGAAGCAAACCTCTCACCTTCCAAATCCAGGGCAACAAGCTGACTTTGACTGGTGCCCAGGTGCGCCAGCTTGCTGTGGGGCAGCCCCGCCCGCTGCAAAGTAGGTAAAACCCACCCCCTGTCCTGCCTTTTTCCTCCTCTATCCTATTCCTTTGTTTTTGTGGCTCTTCCTTTTTAGATGTCAGCCCTTATGTTTCCTTCACTAGCTTGGGCTGGGTGGTTGGAGGGGGTCTTTTGATAAAGCCAGGGAAGAGGTCATTCTAGAGAAATCGTTCCCTCTCTGTCCATTCCCTTCCCTCTTGCCTTTGCCCCTCCCCTTCCCCGGCTGATAGCTGCTTCTCTCTCTCTTTCTCTGTCTCTCTCTCTTTCTCTGTCTCTCTCTTTTCCCTTAACCCAGGGAATGTGGTGCACCTGGTGTCGGCAGGGGGGCAGCACCACCTCATCAGCCAGCCTGCCCATGTGGCCCTCATCCAGGCCGTGGCCCCGACCCCTGGCCCTTCCCCTGTCTCTGTGCTGCCTTCTTCGACCCCCAGCACCACCCTTGCCCCCACTGGTCTCAGCCTTCCGCTTGCTGCTAACCAGGGTGAGGCTTTTGGCCTTCCTACTTACTTAGCCCCTTGCTGGCCTTGGTCCTTTCAGGCATTTCCTGGGCAACTGTCTGTCTAGACCTTCCTTCAGTGTTGCTTCCCCTTGCCAGTATCACTGATGTCTGTCTGCCGCCCTCTCCTGCCCTTGGACTTCTTCCATCCTCTGGGTCTCTTTCTTTTCTGCCTTTCCCTCAATGTAGCTTCCTCTTGCAGTGCCACCAACCATGGTGAATAACACAGGCGTGGTGAAGATTGTAGTGAGACAGGCCCCTCGGGACGGACTGACTCCTGTTCCTCCTTTGGCCCCAGCACCCCGGCCTCCGAGCTCTGGGCTTCCAGCTGTGTTGACTCCACGCCCCACATTCACCCCTGGCCGGCTACCCTCACCTACTCTGGGTACTTCCCGGGCCCCCATACCCACGCCTGCTCTGGTGAGGCCCCTTCTCAAGCTGGTCCACAGTCCTTCGCCTGAAGTCAGTGGTGAGTCCAGGTGGCTGGGACGAACATGGAGTGGCCTTGAGGGTTTCTCAGTCACAGCAAATACTTTCATTATCATTATACTGCCTTGATTTGTAGTGGGCCCCAGAACTGGGCTGCCTGAGTCCTGGCTTAAATCCAAGATGTATTTATTGGAACTTTGGAAGGAGAGGAAATGTTCAGTTTTCAGATTCTTGTAGCTTCGACTTCACAGTGTAGGAGTGGAGGTTGTCTGGGGAAAAAGGTGGAGCTTGTGGGGAGAGAAAGTATGGGACGGGGTGGTAGAAAGAACAGGGAAGGAATTCTTGGGGTAACTCATTCTCTGTCTCCACAGCTTCGGGACCCGGAGCTGCGCCCTTGACCATCTCTTCTCCTGTCCCTGGGCCAGCCTCTTCTCCAGTACCCATTCCCAACTCCTCTCCCCTTGCTAGTCCCGTGTCCTCCATGGTCCCAGCCCCAGTTTCATCTTCACTCCCCATCTCTGTCTCTACCACACTTCCTGCCCCAGCCTCAGCTCCACTCACCATTCCCATCTCAGCCCCCTTACCTGTTTCGGCTTCGGGCCCCGCTTTGTTGACTACTATGACTCCAACACTGGCACCTGTTGTCTCAGCGGTTCCTGGATCTCCCTCTCTGGCACCATCTGGGACTTCCCCATCAGCGTCAGCCTTGACTCTGGGTTTGGCCCCAGCTCCATCCTTGTCCTCATCTCAGGCACCTGGGCACCCTCTGTTGTTGGCTCCTGCCTCTTCCCACGTTCCAGGATTGAACTCAGCTGTGGCCCCAGCGTGCTCGCCTGTCCTGGTGCCTGCTTCAGCTCTGGCCAATCCTTTTCCGGCAGCACCAAACCCAGCTCCAGCTCAGGCTTCCCTTCTGGCTCCAGCACCTTCTGCATCTCAGGCTCTGGCCACCTCTCTGGCTCCCATGGCGGCTCCACAGACAGCAATCTTGGCTCCTTCTCCAGCTCCTCTGGCTCCTCTTCCAGTCCTGGCTCCATCACAGACGGCAGTTCCAGTCCTGGCTCCATCATCTACTCCAGGAAGCCCTTTAGCCTCAGCTTCTTCACTGGTGCCGGCCCCAACTCCTGTGTTGGCTCCATCATCAACTCAGACTATGGTACCGGCCCCAGTTCCGTCACCTCTCCCGAGCCTGGCTTCTACACAGACACTGACCCTTGCCCCAGCTTTAGCATCTACTCTTGGTGGCTCGTCTCCATCTCAGACACACTCTTTGGGAACAGGGAACCCTCATGGGCCCTTTCCAGCTCAGACACTGTCATTGACTCCAGCATCGTCCCTTGTACCAGCTCCAGCCCAGACACTCTCTTTGGCACCAGGGCCGCCTCTAGGTCCAACTCAGACGCTGTCTCTGGCTCCGGCTTCTCCAGTGGGTCCGTCCCCGGCTCACATGCTGACTTTGGCTCCAGCGTCATCATCTGCTTCACTCCTGGCCCCAGCTTCAGTGCAAACACTGACCTTGAGCCCTGCCCCAGTTCCAGTGCCTACTGTAGGCCCAGCTGCAAACTCAACACAGGCCCCAGCTTCCCAGCCATCTTCCCTTGTGGTTTCGGCATCTGCCTCTTCTCCGTTGCCTGTCACCATGGTATCCCGGCTGCCTGTTCCCAAGGATGAACCTGAGACACTGACATTGCGATCTGGTCCCCCCAGCCCTCCCTCCACTGCTACCTCGTTCGGTGGCTCTCGGCCTCGACGCCAGCCCCCACCGCCACCTCGTTCCCCTTTCTATCTGGTAAGTTTTCCTCCCTCAAAAGAGAGGAGACAGGAATTTGAGTTTTGTTAGAATATGGGTAGGATAGAGTGGATGGGACAGAATAATACCACTTTTATTTTGGCAAATTTCAAAGCCCAGGGTTGTGGGCCGAGGACTTGAATGACATTGGGCAAGAAGTGTCTCTAGGCCTGTACCCTCATCTGTAAAATGGGAATCACGTCTGTGCACTGCCTTCCTCAGATGGGTAATTCGAGACCTGATGTTCTATTAAGACTGTTAATTGCAGATATGTTCAAGACCTTGTTATCATCAGTGGTCTGTCTGGTTCTTGCTTATTCTTTTTAGTTAGCATTGGCATATTATTGCCTACTAAATGATAATCAGTGTTACATACAGGATTAGCAAGATTGGTTTTTCTGACTCCGTTGCTTTTTTCTGTTCTCCACAAAAGGCAGTTTTTATATAGGAATACTTTTTAGGGTTGCTGAAACCAACAAATCCTTGAGTATTCCATGATGCCATAGAATAAAACTCCCCCCCCAAAGAAAAAATCTATCACAACTGAGTCAATTCCAACTCATAATGATGCCCCTGTAGGACAGAATCACACTAACCTCGTCGGGTATCCAAGGCTGTAATTTTAGAAAGCAGACTGTCATATTTTTCTTCCAGGGATTGGCTGGGTAGATGTTTTTGGTTAGGAGCTGAGTGCTTAACCACTGTGCTACCAGAGCTCCCTTGTCACAGAATACAGGTTCCCTAAAGGTGATAAGCCTTTGGCTTAGATAGTCATCTCTTCTGGTTTGCACCTCTGGTGATAAGTGAGCAAAACAAGGAACTTTTTCCCTGTCCCTTCATGAACTTCTGGTAGCCGGTTTTTTCCTGTCCTGTGTTTTGTCTGTATGTTCAGTTAAGTTTAACTTGGAGTTCAGATTGGAATAAATAATGCCAGAACTAAGAAGAAAAAAGGTCCAGTGAGCCTCTAGGCCTTCTTGTCTTTTTCTCACTCTATTCTCAGAGCTGCTTTCTATTCTGCCGCAACCCTGTCTTCCCTTCCTCGCCAGTGGCACTGATTCTGACCTTTGCTCATTTTTCTGATGCTGCCCGGCTGGTCTTGGTTTGTTGAGAGTAGAGGATAGATGGCCTAGATCCTAACCGAGGGGTAGAAAAGATTGATCTGGTCAGAGTGGCAACTTCTTGTCCCTTTTTGTTCTTTGCATAGTGGTATTGAGATATGATTCATGTACCATACATCTCACACATTTGAAAGTGTGCACCTCCAGTGTTTTGTATATTCACGGAGTTTCAGTCATCATTAGCTGCTGTCGGTTGGCGCCAACTTGTGATGAGTCTGTGTGGTGGGTGGGATGGGACCGCTGTGACTCACAGGGTCTCATTGGCTGAGTTTGGGAAGTTGCTCACTAGGCCTTTCCCCTAGTCCTCCTTAGTCTGGAAGCTCAGCTAAAAATTGTTCTGTGTCATAATGACATGCCAGACTCCACAGACGGGTAGGTGGTGGCTCGTGTGAGGAGCATCGGCTGGGACTCAGACCTGGGCTTCCCTTTCAGCAGGTGAAGATTTTACTCCTTAGCCACCACTGCTGTCTGTGCTGCAGTCATTACCACCAACTAAAGTTAGCACATCAGCAGCTGTCACTCCTTCTTCCCATCTTACCCCACTCCTAGGCAGAGTCCTTCATCATTGAGTTTTAGCGCTTCATTGCTTTCCAAGGGCAAATAAAATTTCATTATGTGATTCTACCACATCTTTATTTATCCATCATGAGTTGACATCGTGAGTTGATATGATGGACATTTGTGTTGGCTCCACTTTTTGGCTATTGTGAGTAGTGCTGTTGTGAAATTTCTCTTTTATACCTATGAGTGTAATTGTTAGATAATATAGTAGCTCTTTTTAGCCATTTGAGCAACTGCCAAACTGTACTCTAAAGTGACTTTGTTGTTTTTGGTATGTGCCGTAGAGTCAGGCCCTGACTCATAG